CACCTGACATTGCTGTGTGTTCCAGCCATGCCTCTTGGGCAAGAACAGGATTCACTTGCTTTTCTTCTAGCCTCTTCTGTTCAGACTTGATGTGCTGCTGCTGTAATACTTCAGTCGTAAAGTTGTACTGATGCTGTTGTGTGTTTGCTTTTTATCATAACTGTTAAATACTCTGTGGTGGGCTATAATTCTGTCTCAGGTTTCTGGAAATACATAAAGCACAAAAATCCAAATTACAGACTTTGGATCAAGGGGAACTTTGCCATTAACATTACCAGCAGCAGACTGGACCCAGTTATATGGAATAACATAAAATGAACAAACAGGTTTAACCAGAGAAAATACTTTCTTAATGTCAAGCCAGGAATAATTGCCAAAAGTTTTCACAGAAGTTAAAACCTGAGCTCATCCATTGGAGACACATTTGTTTTGAAAGAGGCAGTCATTTGGGAAGTGTTTAATAGGGTCAGAAACTCAATGTGTTGATCAGAAAGTTAACAATGCCCTTAGCACTTCATTTACACGATGACACTTTGAAGGTGCACTTGCTTACATTCTGCTCCACTGACCACAATTTATAATCCAATCTGACAAAAGCACAAGGCATTTTTCTCACTTCCAATTTGCCAAATGTTTGGGTTTAAATAGACACCAGGGGACCTCATTAACATACCTTGTTTTGTAGGGTTTCATCATCACTTGCAATAACTGGCAGTGATTAGGACTAATGAAAGTAAATAGTACTGGACTTCATTAAAGTAGCTGTGCCTCCCAGGACCACACAGTCTGTAAACAGAAAGGAACAAGGCACTTTGGGAAACTACAAACTTTAGCTAATCAGACACAGGAGAAAAGTTATTTCTGAAACTCTCAGTTGTGCCATGTACAAACCAATTTGTTTTATAGCCATAAATTACTAAGAACTTGAAAATCTCCCTTCTAAGTTTGGTGAAGGCCAAATACCTATTTGCTAGTAGTTTTTGTGTGAAGGCTCCCCTTCTGCTGAGAATTATCATTCACAAACTGCTGGAGCTTTTACCAGGGCCAGCTGTTACTGTTCCAGCTATTGCTCTGTTGCTGAACTAGTTGGCATGAGGGTGTTGTTCTGTCGCAGGCGTGGTTGCAAATTAATGATGGTACTGTCACATTAACACTGTCTGAGATGTTAGATTCACAGTTTATGATGATTTAGTACAGCAATTTAGGAGAGTGGTTCTTTTGTTCTAGTTTTATTTGCTACCCTACTGAGGTGCTCCACAATATGCCTTTGGTGCTTGGAGGAAGCCAGAATCATGCACCCTCTCTCTATCATTCCACTCCCCATAAAGCAGCAATTGGGGATATTCAGCTAAAATTCCATTAATGGGTTAAACTTTCATCTCCTTGAATAGCTGTCCAAAATCAAACTTTACCAACTGATCCAATAAGCATGTGCTCTAAGGATCAGTTGGTGACACAAAGGACCCTCAAAATGAAGTTTTAATTTTGGGCAGTTATTCAAGGATTTAAAAGGATAACCCATTAATGATGATTATTATATATTCCTTATATAGGTCAATTATATATGCATATGTGTTACTTAGAACATGTCTCCAACATATGCACACATTCCTCAGGGGGCCTTTCTTGCTTACATAACTCATTCACCTTAACATTCACGTCTTTAAAGTATGCCATGGTAGTTCTGGCCTTATGGCTTAGCTCAGAGTGGCTGACTTCATTGCTTGGTGATTAGCTGTAGATGATGGCTTTCAGGGAACTGTTTCCAGAAGACTTTTTCAGCCCTCTATATTTTTAAAAGATCCCACTGATAGAATCATAGAATCATAGAATAATAGGACTGGAAGGGACCTCAAGAGGTCATCGAGTCCAGCCCCCCGCCCTCAAGGCAGGACCACGCTCCATCTACACCATCCCTGACAGATGTCTATCTAACCTGTTCTTAAATATCTCCAGAGAGGGAGATTCCACCACCTCCCTTGGCAATTTATTCCAATATTTGACCACCCTGACAGTTAGGAATTTTTTCCTAATGTCCAATCTAAACCTCCCCTGCTGCACTTTAAGCCCATTACTCCTTGTCCTGTCCTCAGAAACCAAGAGAAACAAATTTTCTCCTTCCTCCTTGTGACACCCTTTTAGATATTTGAAAACCACTATCATGTCCCCCCTTAATCTTCGTTTTTCCAAACTAAACAAGCCCAGTTCACGAAGCCTGGCTTCATAGGTCATGTTCTCTAAACCTTTAATCATTCTTGTCACTCTTCTCTGTACCCTTTCCAATTTCTCCACATCTTTCTTGAAATGTGGCGCCCAGAACTGGACACAGTACTCCAGCTGAGGCCTAACTAGTGCAGAATAGAGCGGCAGAATGACTTCACGAGTTTTGCTTACAACACACCTGTTAATACAACCTAGAATCATATTTGCTTTTTTGGCAACAGCATCACACTGTTGACTCATATTCAACTTGTGGTCCACTATGACCCCTAGATCCCTTTCCGCCATGCTCCTTCCTAGACAGTCGCTTCCCATCTTGTATGTATGGAACTGATTGTTCCTTCCTAAGTGGAGCACTCTGCATTTCTCCTTATTAAACCTCATCCTGTTTACCTCTGACCATTTCTCTAACTTGCTAAGGTCATTTTGAATTATGTCCCTATCCTCCAAAGAAGTTGCAACCCCACCCAGTTTGGTATCATCTGCAAACTTAATAAGAGTACTCTCTATCCCAATATCTACATCATTGATGAAGATATTGAACAGTACGGGTCCCAAAACAGACCCTTGAGGAACTCCACTTGTTATCCCTTTCCAGCAGGATTTAGAACCGTTAACAACAACTCTCTGACTACGGTTATCCAGCCAATTATGCACCCACCTTATCGTGGCCCTATCTAAGTTATATTTGCCTAGTTTATCAATAAGAATATCATGCGAGACCGTATCAAATGCCTTACTAAAGTCTAGGTATATGACATCCACCGCTTCTCCCTTATCCACAAGGCTCGTTATCCTATCAAAGAAAGCTATCAGATTAGTTTGGCATGACTTGTTCTTCACAAACCCATGCTGGCTATTCCCTATCACTTTATTACCTTCCAAGTGTTTGCATATGATTTCCTTAATTACCTGCTCCATTATCTTCCCTGGGACAGTGAGTCCTCTTTCTTCTCTACTTTGGTTACCTATATCTCAGGTAGCAACTCAAGGAGGGAACAGTTGTCAAAGGCTCAGTACAGTCATTACTGCGCAAGAAGTGGGTGGCCTGAGATAAGGAGCTTCCCCTCGCTCCTCCAGCCTCTCCACTGTGTCAGCCAACTTATCTGATCCATCAGAGAGAGAGACATAAGTTGCACCAAAAAAGGCTGTACAAAACTCAGTTAATGTATCTGTTGTTAGTTACTTTCTTAAGTAATTTATAAATGCATGGAGTGCAATGAAATAGTCATAGTATCATTGGTGATAAAAAACGTTCAACAACACACTTGGCCAGCCTCAATATAAATCAGTAATTGTTTATTTTAAATTAGTTTGGGAAAAATACAGATTTACAAGATGTTAGCTTAACAATAATAGAGTAAAAGAGAAAACAGGAAGCATTGATAGTTTGGTCTGGTGAAAAGTAGCATCGTTTTAATTTCCTACTGAAACATGAATAGGCAGCTTGCATTCTCCTTGTGCTAGGCGCTGTACAAAACACAGAGTAAAAGACAAAATGCAACACATGGCACACATTTGCCTATCCATGTCAGCACAGGACCCAATGTAATATTCATTTACTACTGTGCATAGCTCTTACTGTAGAGTCTATCTCCACTGGCTGCTCTCAAGAATCATTTTGCCCAGTAGTAAATATTATACCTGGTAGTGTTTGCAAAATTAGGCCTGAGATATTATTTCTTTTTCAGTTTAGGTACATCAACTCAGCAGCGCATACCTCAAAGCAAGCTGTGCAATTTGAGCTACAATTGCATAGCTTATTTTTAAATAGCTTATTTCAAAATTTGGGGCTGTCTACCTAGTGCTAATTTCAAAAGAAATCACTATTCCGGTGTCTTCATTAATCCTCATGCAACAAGGTTTACAGGATGCCAGAATAAGAAGCCCATTATTTTGAATGTATTTCAAAGTAACGGGCATGCTGTTAAGAGGTGCAGAACGCTATTTCAGGATAACGGATGTTATCCTGAAATAGTGCCACTGTGTAGACGTACCCTTTGGTAGCAGGTAATTAATTTTAACATATCAATCTCTTACTTTAAAAGTCAACAAAAAGTGTCTTAATCAACAATTTTTGTTGACATTTGTTAAAATAACAATATACCCTAACTAAAATGTTCAGTCATCGTACATTTTACATTGTTCATCTTACATGACAGAATAGTCTTATCGGCCTGCAACTGGTAGAGGATATTGGCCAATACAATTTGCAATGGTTTTCAGATACTAGTCCCTAGGTCAGGACTGCTCAACATACGGCCCGCGGGCCGCATGCAGCCCACAGGGTCTCATTGTGCAGCCCATGATGACTATGGGCACCGCGGCCCCATCCGATCCGCCAGCCGGGTGGAGGAGCAGAGCGCCTTTGGGGAGAGGGAAGTGCAGCGATTCTCGCCACCGGGCTGCCTGCGTACAGCTCCGGGATGAGGAGGAGGGGTGCAAGCCAGAGGGAGGGACACCAGCAGACGCCAGGACACTGACGTGACGTGGCGTCGTGACATCACGGCCGGCAACTGCCGGATTCAAAAACGCTCTGGCAGCCCCGCAAACTGGAAGGAAGAAGCCAGGTAGGGGAGGGGAAAGGGCTTGTGCAGAGGGGAGGGTGACAGGTCAGGAGAAAAGGGAAGGCACCAAGGGGCAGGGTGCAGGAGAGACAAATGCCAGGGGGCCAAGTGGAGACAATGAGGAAAAGGGCAGGAGGGGAGGTGTCAGTGGGAGGGGGGACAAGGTGATGCTGGGAGAGGAGAGGGTAAGGGCACTGGGAGTTGTATGTTGTGCAGGCCTGATTTAACTGAAAAATTCTTAATAAAGTATCACCCCCTCCCCCGAACCTACCCTTGCGGCCCGCAGCTGTTTTCTTTGGAGTAATATGGCCCTCACCGCTTTCCGAGTTGTGCAGGCCCGCTCTATGTATTAAGTGTTGTTTCCGAGTTCTGTTTGCTGAAGTTCTGCTTCTGATACTGTTCAGATCCCATTTACAATTAGAATCTTAAATTATCACATAAGAAATATTAAGCTATATTAGAAGGGATCAGAGCTTTATGATAAGAGCTATACTCTTTCATCTTTGGGTCATTGGTGGAAATTCAAAAGACAAGCCCTTTGTTGCTTTGCTCAGAGGGTTGTAGATTCATTCAAACCTCCATTCAACAATGAAATCTGTTGTGTGTTTTCTTTCTTAATACATGAGAGACAGGCCTTCCTAAAGATAACAGTGCTTAGAGTAGTAGAATTAAATGATTTCTCCATTCAAAGTGATGCAATGTCCTTTCAAATTGCAAGTTCCCTCTTTACTTTTGTGTATTGTACAGAGCTGAGCACATTGTAAGTACTAAATCAATCATTAATAATAATAACCAAAGCACTGAGTCTAATTAGGTGCAATTTCTATGTTGTACTGAGACAAGGTTTAAGGTATCACAGTTTGCAACCTGAAACAGACTGGAAAAGCGGGTAAACAAACAGCTGATGATTCCCTCTCTTTTCCTGTTATCTTTGTAAGCCCAATCTCCAACCAATTGCTAAATGTAGCAAGTCCAAACATTCTAAGTATGTTATTCTAAAATTAATCGAGTTCTGGAAGAGTCCTGTTGGAAAACTTTACCAAACAGAATCAGCTTTAGTGCTTTGCGAAACCACATGTAAAAAAATGCATACACTAATGGGTTAAATGTAGAATTCAAGTAACCAAACCACACCAATGCATCAATGAGGATAGGTGGTGTGGAGTAGTTCAGAAAGGGGTCAGTGGCAGTACAGAAAAAAAAAGGAGACCAGCATATGAGAAAAACACCCATCACTACGCCTAATGTCTTTGCAGCTTTCCTTTCTCTGCTTCGAGAAATGTGATGCTTCATTTCAAATCTGATCTGTGTTTGACTAGTTGCATCTTTAATGGATCTTGCCTGCCTCTTGGCTATAGCATATATTTTCCCATAGATGCACAACATAACAAATCCAGGGATGTAGAATGAAATCATGGAGGCCACCACACCTGAAGTTCCACTGAAAAAGACAAAACAGCCTCCAACGCAGTGGATGTGATTATAGAAAATCTCTTCTGCTCCTTTTAAATTTAGCTCCAGAAAGATCATCCCAAAAGCAAAAATAGCAGGGACGGTCCAACTGATGACGATCATGATGACTATGATGTAAGTATTGATCTTAGATTTGTATCTCAGTGGATCACACACAGCATAGTAGCGATCAACAGAAATGAAGGAAAGATGGAAAATGGAGGCTGTGCTCAGCATAATGTCTATGCTAGTGTGGATTTTGCAGAAGAGTTCTCCAAAGTACCAGCAGTGCTCAACAGACCTCACCATACTATAAGGCATGATGAAGCACCCCAATAAGAAGTCAACAGTAGACATGGAAAGGATCAAAAAATTTGTAGGTGTATGGAGCTGCTTGAAGTGCACTATTGAGATGATAACAGTCAGATTTCCAGCCAATGTGGCCAGGATGATGCACATCATGAAGATATACATGGAAATACGTATATTGCTTGACCAGCTGCTTTTTATGCAGGAACTATTGACAGATTCACAAAACTGCATCCTTCCTGAGATCTCAACCCCACTTAAGTACATTGTCATCTCAGTCTGCAGGATGTTGCACAGGCAACTTTTGTCACAGTGCTGAAATACATTTAGAGTTGTTTATAGTTTTTCTTGGTGTTCATCCAAGCCACAATAACTGCAGAGAGAGAGAGAGAGAGAGAGAGAAAAGAAAATCATAAAACATATTGCATCTACCAGAGCCTCTAGGAAATTCATTTTCCTTAATTCATTAAAGTCATAGAGCAGATTAAACTAGCTTTGAAACAGAATTACATTTCTATCATTAGATATTTCTGAACTGAGACTGATTCATGGCCCAATTAATGCAGCAGCACACCTGTGGGTCTTCTTTATCCACCAGCCACCCGTAGGCTATGTCTATGCTCACAGCTTCTTGCGCAAGTATGGCCGTTCTTGAGCAAGAATCTGCCAGTGTAGACATAGCCATACTGTGAGTAGCAGAAACTACACAGAGCTACCTCAGGGAAGGTAAGTTTGACAAGATATAGATCCCTCTGTGCAGCAGTAGGGAGACAGGATATATCCCCCAGATTTTTTAATGGCTTTTTTAAAGGTGTATCTTTCTTTCAAAAGTTCAAGAGCATCCAGTAGTATTCACATTCCCCTGAAAACTCTTTGTTTTAGATTCTGCAACCCCACTTGGCCACAGCTTCTTGCAGATATAAATCAAAGCCTTAAAAGTCAAAGTGGACAGAACAGACATACAGATGGTAACATCTGGCAAGTAAAAGGAAATTTCCATTAACTCAGGGAAGATTCCTATTAACAACAAAAACCCTGAGATATTCATCTAGTAAATGTCACTTAATCCACAGTCACATCTTCCCTCTGACCATCAATCCTATTCTCCCTCTCTGACTGCCGGGCATGAAGTACTTTGATTGGTTGCTGTGCTGATGCCAGTTCCCAAGACTCTTGTCTTTCCATCTGGTTATGATCAGGGATGGGAACAAGGATAATAGAATCATGGCTTATTTGGTCTTGAAAGCAGTCTGGACAACTTCGGGGCATATGGGTTTCTGCCCGTCTCCCATTTCTTTCTGAGTCTTTGGCCTCTCTGGAACAAGCAACTCAACAACATCACCTGGGTTTTAGATGCACAGTTCCTCATCAGGGTCATTACCTGCTTCAGTGTCATTATAGCTTAGGTGAAAGATCCTGGTACCATCTTCTATTTTTCTGAACTATTGCATCATGACGCACAAGTATTATGCAAAGCTCTTTGCCTACATGTTTTCTTCATAGGTTGCTAACTCTTAAGGTCCATCTTTTTTAAAGGGTTTGTATCAGCCCCTGGCACCTTACTGAGTGCTCAGGGTATGTCTACACTGCCACCCTAGTTCGAACTAGGGTGGCAGTGTAGACATACCCTGAGCACTCAGTAAGGTGCCAGGGGCTGATACAAACCCTTTAAAAAAGATGGACCTTAAGAGTTAGCAACCTATGAAGAAAACATGTAGGCAAAGAGCTTTGCATAATACTTGTGCGTCATGATGCAATAGTTCAGAAAAATAGAAGATGGTACCAGGATCTTTCACCTAAGCTATAATGACACTGAAGCAGGTAATGACCCTGATGAGGAACTGTGCATCTAAAACCCAGGTGATGTTGTTGAGTTGCTTGTTCCAGAGAGGCCAAAGACTCAGAAAGAAATGGGAGACGGGCAGAAACCCATATGCCCCGAAGTTGTCCAGACTGCTTTCAAGACCAAATAAGGTATCTGTGTTTGTGGAGAAGGCTATAGCGTGGAAAGGATAATGTGGCCTAATGAATAAGAACACTTTCCAGCACTTCCACTGGCCTGCTGAGGAACCCTGGATAAGTCACTTCCCTCAGTTTTCCTGTCTGTAAAATGGGAATGATCCTGACAGCCTTTGCAAAGTGCTTTGAGATCTATGGAAGAAAAGCCCTATATAGGAGCTAGAGCTTATTAATGTATTCAGTGAGACTCCATATAGGAACAGTAATGTATCTAAATGAAGCCATGAGCAATCTCGGAGTCTACATGAAGAAATGGAAGGTGTTTATGGAGAGAATGTACAGTAGACTTCCGATAATCCGGAACCTATGGGACATAGGTGGTGCCGGATTATCAAATATGCCAGACTATCAGGAGGTACTATAAAATGGTTTTATATATATACTGTATACATTATATACTGTATATAAAGTGTTCTTAACTCTTTTTATTGTACATACTGTATACAGTATATTGTAATGTTTTAGTTTTTTAAAGACTTTTTTACCCTTTTTGTTCAGTTCAGCTGCTGCCGCTATTAGCTTGTGACTCATTTTTTGCTGAAGCTCACTCACTATGCTCTTGCCATTTTGATGCCGGACTATCAGGAGTGCTGGACTATTGGATGCCGGACTATTGGAGTTTTACTGTACTATGAGAAACGTAGGGCATTATTCTGCACTCAATTACACAAATAGAGTTTCTTTGGATTTGACATGGCATAACTGAGAGCAGAATCAGGACAAAAGGGTGCATATTTGTGCATTCTTTTAATGATCTGTAGCAGCCCAGGTAGTTTATTCTCTGGTTGACACTACAGATTAATACCATGACACAGTTTCAATACAGGGTGACCAGTAAGCAAGGAGCCCTAATTCAAAAACTTCGGAAGAAAAGGGATACCACTGTTGCCATTATTAACTCTTGATGTTAGAAGTATGCTTTTTTGACTGTATTTATAACGCAGACATCTCTTTACTAGAATACTATTAAAACTCCCCTTGCTTTGAGTCAGTTGCTACTAATTTTATAAGCTAAACTATTTCTTTTTAAAATTTTGTTCTTTCCTTCTTATTTGGGCAGGGTCTATAAAACTAGTAATATGAACTTTTCCCTAGTTCCTGTTGTGTTGTACTCAATCTGGTATAGTGAAAACAAACACTAAATCAAATACAGACAGCATGTTACTAGAAAAAGAGTCCTGGGATGTTACACTGATATTGCAACTGAAAGATCACTTTGAGTAAAACTGAAAGCTAATCATATTTTATAATGAACATAGTACTCATGCACACACACAGTTGCCACACACTCACAAGTTGTTAACACTGCTGAGAGACGTATCTGGCCATATTCTTTACCTTAATTGGTAACACAGGAGCTTTACAGCAGAAAGTTTGACCAACCCTTGTAAAAGACTGATCAAATAATTCAACAAACAATTTTGTATAATATTGAAAAAATAGTAATAGAATGGCATTTAAGAGCAGCCCCCAGAGCTTTATTTATTTTAAGGCATAGTTGCAATTGACAGCCAAATTTTCCTTTTAGCCAAACAAACTTTTTCCCTAGAAGAAATCACCATATATACTATATCTGTTTGTGAAATTCCCCTTTATAATTAATGAACTTAATATTTGTATAGAATCTTGCATTTCCTCATACTAGTTCTCTTTTCTGATAGTCTCTGAAATTCAAAGTATGTACTTTATCTCCCCAAAAATCAATACAAGTTAGTAAATGGGCTTTCCCTTGACAGATGTTTAATCAAACCTGTTCTAAATGACAAACCTAATTAGATTTCCATCATGTTTACTTTTTAATAGTAGCATTTCTCTGCTCACCCACTTCTACCTGGCTAGATCAGTTCTGTTCTTTGGCTAGTTTCCATAGGTGGCAAGGGCACCTTTTTCCCAGGCCACTGTTTGGGCTGGCAGCTTTCCCCTTTCCCCAGGGGCTGGAGCTTGCAGCTGGTTTCTGGGGGTAGCGAACCCAGCCACTCCTTTGGGAGTCCCTCCCCTGCTGTTCCTGCTCTAAAGATGTTCCGTCTTACTTGCTACCTCTCTTCTATCCTCTCAATTTCCTCTCCCACTTTCCAACTGGGGAGTCTTTTAAAGGCTTCCAGAAGGCCTGAAGTAGAGTAAGCTGGCCTCAGTCTGGCTGGGCCAGCTCCCTACTAGCTGCTTCTAAGCCTATGTCTACATTGGCACAATCTTGCGCAAATACTTTTTAACACAAGAGTTCTTGCGTTAAAGTATTTGCACAAGAGAGTGTCTACACTGGTACGTGCCTTTGCACAAGAGATTTGCTTTTGCGCAAGAGCATCCGTGCCAGTGTAGACGCTCTCTTGCGCAAGAATGCTCCGATGGCCATTTTAGCCATCGGGCTTTCTTGCACAAGAAATTCATGTTGCCTGTCTACACTGGCTTCTTGCACAAGAACAGTTGCACAAGAGGGCTTATTCCTGAGCAGGAGCATCAGAGTTCTTGCACAAGAAGCACTGATTCCACACATTATAACGTCAGTGTTCTTGCGCAAGAACCCCCCGCCAGTATAGACAGCAAATAGATGTAGCCTAATTGTCCTGCCCCCTCCGCTTTTATTTAGCAGGCCTTTTAAGCTTCTGGGGCTGCCTTTTTCCCCCTCTGTAGCAGCCCTCTGGTCTGACCCTGTCACACCTGCCTTAGATTATAAAATTTCCATGTGCTAGGCTTCATCATTATGTTGATATGCAAACATACTGGTTGGCTGCCATAACATCAAGATTGTGCTATTTTTTGTAACAGACTTCATTATATTGTGCCACTTTCTCTTTATAAAATCAAACTGTTTTAAGACCACCTCAATATAAAAGGTGTTACTAACAAGCATTTTTATTTTTCAATAAAATTCACTTTGAAATTGCTACATGCAACGTAATAACAGTCCTCACAGCAATGCATTGTGTTTTTATAGAAATAAACAAGGTCACGTTCTCCTGGTATAAATGAGCTTAGTTCCATTGACTTCAAACAAGCTGTGCCACAAAAGATTAATTTTAAAAAAAGCTCTGCAAAAGAAAGTAGTTCTTAAAACTCTTGGGTATAACACACTGAAAATCTGGCCCATTATATTTATGATACGGGTTTATTACAAATAGATTTAGGACAACATCTTAGGGCCAAACTCTGGCTTGCCCAGTACAGATGAGCTTAAACGAATCAGATAAATAGTATTTATTTTTAAGCATTGAAAGGGGTGACTGCAGGCTGGTATCACTGGAATAATTTACCAAACCAAAGAATATATGCCTGAAATCATAGGCGCCACTTCTGTGGGTACTCCAGCCCTGGAAGCACACTGGCAAGCCTCTCTTCTCCTTCCTCCCCTCCATCCCA